GGAAGTATGCAGGAGGCAGCTGATCAATGTTTCTCTCTCATTGATGTTTCTAACTCTCTATCCCTCTCCCTTCCTCTCTGTAAAAAAACCAATAAAATATATATTTTTTAAAAATATTATACACAGGCTGAAGCCACAAGGAAAAAAAGCTACAGTAAAGCTCCTAGACGCGGGTCACTCAACAGAAATCTTGATAGCGGACCTTGTGCTCGTGTGTGTGTGTGTGTGTGTGTGTGTGTGTGTGTGTGTGTGTACCCGCGCGCCCCACCCCCGGCCGGTGCCCCACCTCACCCTTCCCAAAAGAGCTTTGTCAAACATTCTTGGAATTGCTTAGCTTGGGGCAATCAAGAAAACAATACATCGCCTCTGATATTCTGTTAAGTGCTGATGAAGGTTCTATGTCTAAAGGATCTTCTCTCTTTTTCTCACATTCTTGTTTTGCTCTTTCTTTTTATTTTTTTTAAATATATATTTTATTGATTTTTTTACAGAGAGGAAGGGAGAGGGATAGAGAGTTAGAAACATCGATGAGAGAGAAACATCGATCAGCTGCCTCCTGCACACTGCCCACTGGGGATGTGTCCACAACCAAGGTACATGCCCTTGACCAGAATCGAACCTGGGACCCTTGAGTCCGCAGGCTGACGCTCCATCCACTGAGCCAAACCGGTTAGGGCTGTTTTGCTCTTTCTTGCTCATTTTCCTCCCTTCAATCCAAGTTTACTTGCTTCCTCATTTTCCTTTATTTTCTCACCCTCCTTCCTTCAGTGTTCTTATTTCCTTTGCCCCTCTTTCCCCTTTCCTTCTCTTCTGCCTCCCCTCTTCCTCCCCCATCCCCCATTTTGCTTTTCCGGTCTTCTTTCTTTCTTCCCTTTCTTTTTCTTGGGCAGATCAATATTATGTCAAGAGCTACATTCCCTACTGAAACTCACCACTCCCACCTCCTGACTCTAGGGAATCTAGAAGTGAGCGTACCTGAGGGCTTGGGGATGGAGAGTGAGAGAGTCAGGGAAAAATAAGCTAATGTGTGTCTGCTCTAACTGCTAAAATTAGCTGTAATGTGTCTGGACCCTTGTCAGTTTTTGTTTTTGTTAACCCTCACCTGAAGATATCTTTCCATTGATTAGAGCGAGTGGAGAGTGGAAGGAAGGAGGAGAAACAGAGAGAGAAACATATCCACTGAGCCAAAGCGGCTAGGGCTGGGCCCTTGTCATTTTAATGCAGCCAAATAGCACACCGTTTAAGACCAGTGGTTCCTTCTCAAAGGGGCACAAGGGCCTTTCCTTTATAAAAACTGCCTTTTTTAAGTTCAATTATTCAATGCCAAATGTGTAAGTAGCTTTAACATTGATCCTTTTCCTCCTTTGAATCACATATAATTGCAAACACATATGTGGTAGGCAGTCAGACGCATGTGAGCAGAGAGAGCAAGGACAATGGGCCAGGTAGAGAACATAACCAGGACAGAAAGCAAGATGCATGCCAAACAGCAAAACTGAGGAAACAAGGACCCATGGGGGTTAGACCTCCTCAGGGGGGAAGTGAACGAACAAGGAGGCCTGAGAATAGCCCTTAAGCATTAAGCCCCAGGACAGGAAGGTCTGACCTGCATCAAATCCATATGGGTCTCAGTGGTGTTTCAGGTCTAGAAAAGCAGCAGAACCAGGCAAGCTGACCTCAGGACCAGCTGCATTGACTAATGACCCCCTGCCCTAGTGCCAAGCAATCAGCGGAGACCACAACCCTAAAAGGGCACACCTGGGAAGCTGGTGTATATTCTATTGAGATTCTCACCTGGGACCTCCCTTAAAATCCCCACCCTTAATAATCCTAAGGACAGAGGACCAGGAACTGCGTGCTCTCCCTCTCTCTCCACTCCCCCGCTAGGTGAGTTACCCTTACCCTTGGCTCTCCTAAGTTCAAGGGCCCTTCTTTTGCCTCTGTAACATGTTTCTTGAGACCATTTCCTCTGCCACTCACTTCTACCTCTGTGACTCTCTAAAAAAACTTTCTATTATAGCTTGAGTCTTGGCTCTGAATTCTTTCCTAGTCAGAACTCAGGTTGCTGAACCAAGGTCTGGTATGACTCCACCAATTTAACCCCTGGTGCTGTTCTCACCACAGCCAACACATAGACACACACACCACCATCCAGAGAGAGCGGGGGTCGACCAGATGGCCCGGCCCTGACTTCTTCTTCTTTTTTTTTTTTTTTTCCTCTGGCAGTGGATCAGAGTGATTGGGTTGACCAGCTGTCTGTGGAGATGAGAGATTGAAGGTGGGGGTGGGGGCGGGGCTAAAGAGCAAATAAATGTTACACACACACACATCCCTTGGGAAATTCATAGTAATATATAGGTGGGTTTTTCTAAACTTGGCAATATCTCTTTTTAACATCAAAATGACTCACTGCTTGAGAGACCCTTTGCACTGATAAATTTTACACCCTTTTCATGGTAGAGAAATCTGAAAAGAAAAAAAAAAGTCATACTTAGTAATGATAAAATAAATGGAATATAATAAATGGAGTGGCATTGAAAGAAGTCATAACAATCATTAAATTAGATTAATATAGAGAAATCAATGTATAGATTTCAAAGGTACTCTCTGTGTTTTACTCTTTATTGGTGTGTTTTGCAGACACTACTTAATCCTCACAGCAATCCTAAAATATGGGTGTAATTACCCCACAAATGATTATAAGGAGCTTGGCTAAGTTAAAACCACTGGGAAGTGTCTCAACTGGAATGTGAACCCAGTTCATTTTGACTCAAATGTTATCCTCATTTTACAGAATGTTTGAAGCATAGAAAGGTGATTTGCTAAAATACATTTTGTGAAAAAGCTACATCTTCTAACACTCCAGTGCTTAATTTTTATTACCCTTCAGCTAAATTACCAAAACCTTACATAATCGACAAAGAATTATAATGAGTTACAAGTCTCTTTTCTTTCTCCCCCCCCCTCGCCATCTACGTAGTCCTCAGTTCCTTCATAAGGAGTCATGTGCATACATTGCTTCTAATTAACATAATAACGAATGTTGGTGGGGAGGGAAATGCCTTGGGAATAATCCTTAAAAATGCATATGGACAGGGAAATTTCATAAACTCATATGCCTGGTCTTAACATTTCAATTTAAACTTTTATAGCTAGCTTCTGTCTTCTAATTTGCACAAAAATTTAAAACAAGAAAAGTTTATTTGGAAGGTACTATTATATCCTTGCAGTTCAGGAATACCTTAGTACCAGTAGAAAGTAAGATGGTTTAATTTGTTTATAGCACCTCTAAGCTGAAAGTTGAAAACAAAGAGAATTCATTTAATTTTTTAATTAAAAGATTTGTTAATTAAAACTTTTTAGACTATTCAGTTATGAGTTCTGTGGACCCCAAAGAAGAAAAATTTCTTTGACATAAACCCTGAGAAGGAATTTGTTTACTGAGGTGGACTCCCCATGGTCAGCTTGTTATTGGTGGGGAGTGCTCCTCATCCCCAACAGTTGTTGGTGGGAGTGGGTTTCTTGCGATAACCTGAGAAAAGGAATTTTCTGAGATTTGCACAGGAGGATGAGATGTAGAAAGCCTTATTTCTGTGGAATTACACCCCTGAGTTTCCAAGGTACTATTTCCCTCCGTCCTGTCTACGGGATTATGTATTACCAAATTTTTATGAGCTTGCATTGGCCCTGCCCTCTCTGGCCAATGAGCTCTGTTCACAGGTTTGACTGACAGGCATCTTCCCTATATCATCCCCACTTTACTGTGCATACATCAATCTCCCTTTTGTTGGACCCCTAGTCCCAGTGATCTGTGGGGAATGGGCTGGTGGTTCAATAGGGAGTGTGAAATTGAGCTTCCTTGTGAAGCTGCCCAAATGGCCATGTTTATAATGGCTGGCCTCCCTTTTTCTCCTTTCCTAACTCTATATGTAAAAGCCTAAACAACTGATAATGACCGATCGACTGGTTGCTATGATACACACTGACCACCAGGGGGCAGCTTCTGATCGCTGGCCAGGTCAAGGGACGCCACCCGTGCACAAATTCATGCACCAGGCCTCTAGTTATTAATAACTAACTAATTACATTGGTATCAAACTGAGGGCCCAAATTTTATAAATAATAAGAGTCCACTGGCTATTTGCTGACAGGGGCGCCCCAGGACTCTGTATACCAGGAAGAACCTCAGACTGAATTTCCCGCACTGCTTGTTTACACCATCTGAGTCAACCACTGCAGGGAAGTCCTGGTTTATCTTTCAACCAATGGACTTATACTTGTTCTGTCCAATCAGAACTACACAAATAATATACTCATTTGTATCTGTAGACGACCAATCAAAACTGCATGATTTAGATCCATCAGAATGGTACAATTGGAAACCTCATTTACATGAAAGGAGTTACAATGGGAACTATGGGCAGGAAAACTCTCTACAAGGTGACTTTGCCTTTGTCTTAGTGGACCACAATTTAGGTTGCTACCTGCATCTGTGAGTACCAGGCTGCAGTTCTTTTTGCTGAAATAAATACTTTTATTTCTT